ACACAAAGTCGATTTGGTTTGATATATAATGGACACAAAGTTGATTTGGCTAAAGAGTGTAATGATCAAGTCAATATCGATGAGTTATGTGATTCAGTAACAATTACATAAAGGCAGTTATCGATGATTACATAAAAGTTGATCGATGACTATGGATGACAATTATTGATAACCATGAAATATAACTATCGATACACAGTAGCGTGTGGTCGACGGAAATTTTGCTTCGATAACAATATATGGCCAATATTATTGTAAATTTGGCTAAGTGTTGGACACATGGAAAAGAAAAGAGATAGAATGAAGACGTCAATTAAAGGCATGAATCTCCACATCGATGATGTAGCCATCGACTGCAAGACAACATCGACATTAACAGGTAGTCCAAGGGCAATCAACAAGAAATGTCGATGAAGAGCACGAGATGTCCTCCTAAATCTAGCTAAGTGTTTGATAGAGAGGAGAACACGAAGATTGCAATGTCGATGGAAGACAAATATTGATTGACGATTGAGTGATTGCGTTTGGTTCAGCTTTCCAAATGAGCTTTGAGCCTTATTTCCCCTTGAGAAAAAGTTAGGGCATTTACTAGCATTGGCAAAGTTGAAAGTGCAAGGCAATGTTTTGGCTTTTCAACATTTTTGGAATGACATTGTGGGTTTTAATGACCATTTTTTTTCTTTCCAATTTTGCCCTCATTGATAATTGCGTATTTCACTCTTGCCCTAAAAAAACACTGTTTATCTTTTTCAACCTACCGTCTTTATGCTCGCTAGTTATTAACGTCATTGAGTTCGAGGTCACCGAGGTCCAAATCGCGTAGGTCAAGGGTTAACCTATCATCTTCTTCAACCCATGATCGTCTATCTTTGATGCACTTAGGGGACCGGCGGACCTGTTATGCGACTGGACGAACTGGCGAGCTTGAAGTCAACGATGTCGGATTGAGCTCAAATTTGGTCGGCTGAAGCGAAACGGCGTGCTGATCAATACTCATAGTCTTTGGCTACGATTAATGATGGATTTTCGCGATTCGGGGTCATTTAAATGGTTTTTTTAAATTATTTTAGTAATTTTCGAATTAAGGGTATTTTCGTAATTTTACGTTTTGATGTTTACTAATCCTAGTAGGGTTAGGTTTTGGGCTATATAAGCTTATTTTAGGGTTTCGTTTGAGGAGATTTTGAATATTTTGATTTGATAATCATATTTGGAGGACGAATTGTTCTTCTGTCGAATTTTCTTGTTCAGTCAAATTTTCTATCGCGTTTCGGCATCAATTGATATCAGAGCACAGGTTGCTTGAATCAATGGCTGAACAGAATCGCGGTCGTGGACGGCGGGCTCGTGGTGGCCGGGGGCGTGGAGGCGTTCCTGAAGTAGACGACCAACCGCGTCTAAGAGATCTGTGAGACGTAGAAATTGAAGAACAGAGAAGACAAATCCAGGATTTGGAGCGACAACTTGCGGAGGCGAGGTTGGACGTTCAATCCGAAGAAGGAGCGGAATCTGAGCATTCATCCGATGATGAAGAGGAGGACGTAAACCCTTTCGGGGTTCTGAACCAAGGGCGGAATCGAGGAGTACGACCTGGAAATCAGCGTTCTTCACAAAATTTCGGAATGAAGATCGAGATTCCCGAGTTTAATGGTAAGGCTCATCCTGATGAGTTTATTGATTGGTTACATACGGTAGAACGGATTTTTGATCTTAAAGACCTAACTGAGGGGCAAAAAGTGAAGTTAGTGGCTATTAGGCTGCGAAAACATGCTTCGATTTGGTGGGAACACGTGAAAAAGCAACGCGCTAGAGAGGGAAAGCCGAAGGTGGATCGCTGGGATAAGATGAAAAAGTTATTGCAGAAAAATTTTTTGTCTACCCATTATAGGTAAGAGGCGTTTATCGAGTATCATAACGTCAAGCAAGGTGATAAAATAGTTGAGGAATTTACAGAAGAATTTGATCGCTTGCGGATGCGTTGTGATGTGGCGGAGGAAGACGAGCAAACGATTGCACGATATCTGGCAGGGCTGCGATATGAGATCTCTGATGTTGTCCAATTACAGCAGTATTGGACATATGAGGATGTGTGCAGACTAGCCCTAAAGGTGGAGGGGCAGTTTAAAAGAAAAAGCAGTAACTCTAAGTGGTCAGGCAGCAGTTCCAAGTGGTCAGATAAAGAATCCCAAGGAAAAGCGGAAACATCTGCAGTAAATTCAACACTGATCACAGTTAAGGATGTGAGTTCTAAACCTGCATCCAACGAGGGGCAGAGTAGTACTGGAACTAGCAGGGGACGAATTGCAGCCAAGCGGTGTTTCAAGTGTCAGGGATTTGGGCATTTTGCTGCTGATTGTCCGAACCGACAGATTGTGACGCTTGTTGATAATCCAGTTTTTTATGAAGGCCCAGTTTATGATGAATCTGAAGGCGAAGAAGAGGATGCGGATGCGGAACAGAAAGAGATTATCTATGCTGATTCTGGTGAGTCCCTAGTCGTTAGAAGAATATTAAATGTTGTTGTAGCGGATGATGAATCGTGGCTTAGACATAATATTTTTCATACTAAGTGCACTAGTAGAGGAAAAGTATGCAGCATGATAATAAATGGTGGGAGTTGCGAGAATGTGGTGTCCACGACTATGGTGGAAAAGTTGGGGTTGAAAACAGAAGATCATCCTCAACCATACAAGCTGTCATGGCTTAGGAAGGGGAATGAGGTAAAAGTGAGTAAGAGGTGTTTAGTGCAGTTCTCGATTGGGAAGAAATATACTGATGAAGTGTGGGGTGACGTAGTTCCAATGGATGCTTGTCATATTCTGTTGGGGAGACCTTGACAGTTTGATAGAAAAACACAGCATGATGGATTCAAAAATACGTACACCTTCAAGAAGAATGGTCGAACCATAACTGTAGGTCCTTTAGATTTGAGAAAAGAAGGGAAAAGTAATCTGCTTTCCAAATCAAAATTTCAAGAAGAGGCAGTGAACGCGCCTGAGCTTTTTGCCATTGTGGTGATGGAGTGGAATTCTGACAGTCCTGAAATTCCTACCCAAGTTCTGCCCTTGCTTGAGGAGTTTGCTAATGTCGTACCGAAAGAGTTGCCACCTGGGTTGCCGGGTGAGCACAATGTTTCTGGAACTTTTAACGTAGCAGATTTGTCACCTTACTACATTGAAGAGGAAGAAGACCCTGAAGAGATTGACGACAATAAAGACGAAGCAGATTCGAGGACGAATCTTTCTCTAGCAGGGGAGGATGATGCACCTAGGGGATCGGCGGACCTGTTATGCGACTGGACGAACTGGCGGGCTTGAAGTCAACGATGTCGGATTGAGCTCAAATTTGGTCGGCTGAAGCGAAACGGCGTGCTGATCAATACTTGTAGCCTTTGGCTACGATTAATGATGGATTTTCGCGATTCGGGGTCGTTTAAATGGTTTTTTTTAATTATTTTAGTAATTTTCGAATTAAGGTATTTTCGTAATTTTATGTTTTGATGTTTACTAATCCTAGTAGGGTTAGGTGTGGGGCTATATAAGCTTATTTTAGGGTTTCGTTTGAGGAGATTTTGAATATTTTGATTTGATAATCATATTTGGAGGACGAATTGTTCTTCTGTCAAATTTTCTTGTTCAGTCAAATTTTCTATCGCGTTTCGGCATCAATCTTCTTCAACCCTTCGACGGCGATTGACAAGGTCGCACCAATCGTCGAAAGGCCAGATTTGGGTTGCCCTAAGGTTGCGCGACCTCGGCAGCCCATCGCCTAGTGTCGCGTGACTTTGACTGTCCTCGCCTAGGGTTGCATGACTAGGGTCTTTGCCTGGTTCATCTTCTTCGAAATTGCCCTTGCTTGTAACTATTAGACGAGATCTAGAGGTCGAGCCACGATGATGGCTAAGCATCGATGGTCGCCAATGGTCGACCTCAAAGCTCTCACTTGAGTCTCATAGCGGCCCTCGGAGTCCTCACCCGAGTCCTCAGAGACAATGAACAATAGCTCTCTCTTTTTTTTTACTTCAAACCTATTTTGCAAAAAACTACACAAAAGTCACTATTAAATGGCATTTGCTTTGAGCAATTACACTTTGAGCCAAAAAGATATTTGGGGAAATGACTTTGCATTTCTCCAAAGCTTAATCAAACGCACCCATGGTGACCCAGGGAGTTGTAACCGTTTGTAGATGAGGAAAGTGTGCAAATAAGAAGTCTAGAATCGCAAAGGTGTAGTTACAACTGTACTTAGCATAATAACAATTAATGGGCGAGTTATAATTACAAACTATATATATGGCGGCGTGTAATTACTGTAGCATCCGCTACTATCATCAAGAACAAAGTCCCGATATACTTTTTCAATTTATCAACATTACCGTCGTTCAAATTCCCGCCATCTACAGTCCTTCACTTGTAAATTTATTGTCCACCTTCTTTGTCGCGCCAATGCAATTCTGTCCGAATCACCACCGAACCCATCTGAAAGAGAGATCAAACCTCTAGCCGGAGGCTGTTCGCTCTCCGGGCCTCCCACCCATTTTTGTAGCGAAACGATATCTTCATCCACAAAGGCACAAGTCACAACTCCATAGCCTCGTTGCTAAACCCTACAAGAAAACCACAGATATCCAATTTCAAGAAACATGAAAAATTACTCAAACCCCCGCCCTTTTTTTGGGGTCCATTTCAGGCAAACTCTTCTCAAGCCTCTTCTCTTTTTTGGGAGGGGGTTTTCGCTTTTGGCGGGGAGGGAGGCGATCCAAAAGGCAAAACCAAAATCACCACCCTCCACCACCACCCCAAATTCAAAACAGAGATCAACCCCAGGAGTGGCATTTCCGTAATAACGAGGCGGCGGAAGCTAGGGTTTCGCGTCCCAGTTATAAATCTCTCCTTTAGATCCGCCTGCGCCAAAAAAACTTTTCCCGTGTCGGTTCGGTAGCTCTGTCTCTGTCTCTGTCTCTCTGTCTCTCTCTCTATCAGTCACTACATAAGCACACTGTTTCTCTCTCTATGTCGTTTCCATTGCTAGGTTTCTCCAAGTACCATCATCACTGATTGCCCACTCCATTTCCCCTCTCTCTCTCTCCTGAGAGGCGCGTAAAATCTTTTGTCTTTCCCGCTCACGGTTCGGCTTGCGATCCGTTGGTCTCTGTTCCTTCCTCTGTTTTAGATCTATTACGGCCCCTTGCTCTGCCTCTTCCGTCTAGTTCTTGTTCTTGTTCTTCCGCGATCGCGAGAGTTTTCTTTTGGCTCCTGCTCGAGCGAGCTCGCGCTCTTCTTGACAGGGAAGGAAAAGGGGTTCGGAGATCGGTGGGAATAGGCCATGGAAATGCAGGATGCGAGTGACAAGGTGAGTCTATCGCGGCTTCGCTTCTGTGTGATTCGCACGGGCTTTGATTCGATCTTGGGGGTGGGATTTGATTTGGGTTGAGGAATGAAGGGATGAAAACCCTAATTTCGTTTTGTGTTCTTTTGGGTTTGCTCGAAGCAGGGATCGGAGTCGCCGGGCGTAGCTTCGTCGGAGGAGAGCCACGTGACGGAGACCAAGAAAACGTGTGCTGATTGCGGCACCACCAAGACCCCTCTCTGGCGCGGCGGTCCAGCTGGCCCCAAGGTAAAAGATCAAGTCTTTTCTGAAGATCATGAATGATCAGTTTACTTACTTAGGTTGATTTGTGTAATTAAGAAATCGAAGGGACATCTCTTATTTGATGTTTCGCTTGTTTTAAGGTGTTTTTCCACATCATTGAGTATATCCATTTGTAGATCGATCACAAACACGTGGATTTGATAGTGTCATTCAAGAAACTGTGTTCTTCACTAGCAGTGATAGAGAGATCGATTGTAAGAAATGGGTTGGCTCGTTTTAACGTGTCTTGAAATGGGATCGGCTCGAATTGTAAACTAGATCTGTAAAAATATCGTCTTGTGATAGCCGTTCTGTTTTTCCCCTGGTCGTTCCTGTGTTTTTGACCGTGTGATCTTGATTTTGTCGTTGCAGTCTCTGTGCAACGCGTGCGGGATCAGGAGCAGGAAGAAGAGGAGGGACATTCTGGGCATAAGCAAAAAACCCGCAGATGACAAGAAGCGCAAGAAGATCAACCACAGCCCGAGTAACAACAGCAACGACGACAACAGATTCGGCAATTCGTTGAAGCAGAGGTTGTTGGCTCTTCTCGGAAGAGAAGTGATGATGCAGAAGAGATCGGCGTCGTCATCGTCGTCGTCGTCGACATCGAGCCTCCAGAGGCAGAGGAAGAAGCTGGGCGAGGAAGAGCAGGCGGCTGTCCTGTTGATGGCCCTGTCTTACGGCTCTGTTTATGCTTAAAGGGTTGGGTAGTTGAGGAAAAATAAATAAAGAAAAAGAAGGGGAAAAAAAGAGAAAAGGGAAGGGAAAAAGAATCAAGAATGTCAAATTTGGCAAAAAAGTTTTGGGGGGGCTTCTTTAGGCGCAAGTCTAATTAATGTTCTGGCGAGTTCTTGTATTCTTTTGACCGTCTGTTTTGACCGAAATTGAGAGGAAGGAGGAAGGAGAGAGAGAGAATGAGAGAGGCCAACAAGTGTAAGCAGTGGAGGTGATTTGATGTCTGTTGTTTCTCTGTTTTGTGCTAACGTAATATAAGAGTTGTCCATTCTCGATTATCCCATCCCATGTACTGCTGCTGTTGGATTCTTGCCATCTTTGGTCATTTGTGACTCTGATTATGACCCATATGCAATTGAATGCTCGGCATTCGTTCACGAGGCACGGTTCAGTTATTGACCCCAATAAGAATGGGATGCAATGGGAAATGGAATCACGTATAATAAGTATGTTACATATTGATAAAGAAGTGGTTAACGCCAAACAATGTCTTAAGTGTTCTGATCGACAGAAGCGTGGAGATTGACAGCAGGCACAACAGGCCAAGTGATGAGAATGGTTAGTCGGTAAAGTGAAATCGGTGGTCGGGAAGACCCGGTGTCGATCGACAGAGGCATCAACGATAAAACAGCTAAGTGCTGAAGCAGAATGGCAACGGATGAAACATATTTTCTAAATCAAAATGCGGAGTGTAACTGTCGAGTAGTAAAGTCAACAAATATCGGATGTGTAACCGTTTGTATAGACAAGTGTTGCTAAACAATAGGAGCCGCGTAGGGTTGGTTTTTAATTCAAAGTAACTGTTATATATAACCGTCCGTATTTCTAAATGGCTTGGGAGTCATAATTGAAATTATCTATTGGTTATCTCAACATAAGTCTTCACTTCTTGTACTAAGAATGAGGCAGGCTTTGCCAACCAACATTAATTTAGTTTAAAAATAGGACTCTCTCGCACAAACAAAATAAGATGATGTCATCATGAAAATAGAAAATATATCCCCAAAAACAATTTTCAATGAATGGCCAAGAATCCAATTCCAAATCAATACACCTCGTGTATGCGAACATCGCATAAATACGAAATAATTAACGGGGATGAATCCATTCGCGGTTAAATAATGTTCAATTTCACTACAAGTGTGCAACTCACAACAACGTACGTTTTCCTGACGACGTGTGAGTTTTGATCAACATATGATTTCATTATATCGATATCGACATGTAAATCATAACATTCAATCTTAATTTGCATTTAATGTTATGTAGCTTTACCACGACGACAACAGATAATCGAATGTCAACATACAAATTCAAAGCAACGTGTATTTTCATTATCAATCCGTGATTCATGATTGCATGCAACTTCAATGTCAAGGCACTTTATGGAAAAAGTCTTTTTCTGTCCCTTTCTTTCTTCTCTCTCCATCTTCTTCTTTAACCTATAGTCATGGGGAGGGTTTGAGCTAATCTCACCCTCCCCTCTTCCTCTTATTGATTTAATTTATGTTTTCTTGTTTTTTCTTATCTCCCGATCTAAATTTGGGAGTTTTATTTTTCCGGTCTAGTTCTAAATACGAGAGTTTGAACTCTCTCGGTTTAATTCTAGATTTGGGAGCTTTCCTCTCTCAATTTAGATATGAAGTTTAATAAATATGCCTTTAGGAATTCGATATCATGTGCTATGTCTGTACAGGTCCTTTCCTCTAGCTTCAATGATGATCTTAGGAGCTTTGATATTTCGTTGAACCACGAATATTTGATCTTCCAAATATTAGATCTAGGTTTGTTCAACCTGTTTTGGTTGTCTCCAACAAATAATCACATTTATCATTGTGGTTCGGTGGTGTTAGGAATCTAGCTAAACTCGGGCCGTATGAAATGTACTTTACAAGGCCCAAGCCCATCTACTTGCCGTTGAGGAAGTTAGGACTCGTCAAGGCCCATTACAAGCCCAATGCGTGTTGTGCATCCTTCCATCAAATGCATTTGATATGCTCCGTTTGTTTGTCAGCACAATGGAACGCGATTCCACGTTGAAACTTGTACGTCGTGTGTCCAATATCTGTGATCTGAAAATTTCTTTCGCCTTGCGCAAGTCGAAGTATCACTCGATACTACTACAATTTCACGTGAGAAACCGATCTATGAAACCACTGATCGATCGACTAAGGTAAATTCTCCCGAATGTTGCATTTGAGAAACTCCGACCGTTAACCTTTTGAATCTTGAGCATGATTTTTGAGATATCGACAGTTGGAAATTACCACTATTGCTAGGGAAAGTAAACTAGTCTATTCACTGTGGATAATGTTGGAACCCTTTCGTACTATTATAGAATGAAGTCCTGTTTAGGCTCCGTTTGTTTCAAGAAAAATAACTTTTTGAAAAAAAATTTCCAAATTTTCCGACGTTTGGTTCACAGAAAATATCCTAGTTAAGAAAAATTGGTAATGAAAAATACTTTCATAAGTGGAGAAAATGAAGAAAGGAAATCATTTTCCCTCCTCTTTCTTTCACCCAAACCCAGCACGTTCTTTTACGTGTACTCCTTCACCTTCCTCTTCTCGTCTATGCACTCCTTATCTCTCTTCGGCTCGAGACTTGTTCCTCCACCTCTCTGCCTCCGGGCTTCCTCCTCCTCTTTGCCACCACCTGCGATGGCTGTGTCGCCGCCGCCTGAGGAACGGCTTGTGGCTACGGATGCTCCGGCAATGCCACGCTCTCTCTCCTGTCGCCTCCGCCCCCTGTGAAATCCAGATGCCTTACCAGTCTCTTCCCCGTGTTACTCTCCCCTGCCCCCACGGAGCTCCCTCCCACATCTGATTGTTGCCTCTTCGGAGACGACTCCCTCATCTCGCCTTCTCCCATCAATCTTCAGCTCAAATTTCACAATCCGATTGCAACCACCAAAACCACGTCCCAAGATTTGAATCTACTCGCTGAATTTGCTCAAATCAGGATGAATTCAGAAGCTTTCAGGTCCAAGCTCATAGAGCGGAAGGAAAAGACCTTAAAGAATTCAAATTTTGAAGCCGTGAGCTGAACAGGCAAGAGATGAGCTCACCGGATTTGGCGAGGTCGAGCCTCACTGGCCTTGGGTGAGCTCGTCCCTCTTCTGTGGCCGGTCGTTGGTCGTCGCTGTGGCTGGCGATTGACTGAGGAAGAAGGAAAAAAAGAAAAAGAAAGAAAAGAAAATATAAAATAATTAAAAGTTTGAATTTTTTGGTAATTTTTTCTAGGAAAATCAAATAAAATTTTCCATATTAAACGGCGGAAAATATTTTTCTATTCATTTTTAGGTTTTAGCCAACACTGAAAAATATTGTCATTTTCCAAGAAAATGACTTTTTGGAAATTATTTTCTAGAAATGTCTGGTTTTTCGCGAAACAAATGGAGTCTTAGGGTGCGTTTGTTAGGCTCCGTTTGCGGAAAATGAATGATTTAGCAAACATTTTTATAAAAATAGTCACCTTTTCTGCTTACAAAAATGAACGATTAAAAAAAATTTCATCGTTCATGAATAATGAAATCATTTTTCAATGATTAATTATTTTAAGTGATGCAACCAATTATTTTTAGGAAAATATTTTTTAAATCATTCATTTTTGCGAAACAGACATGCCAGGGTATGCTTATTTTATTGAAAAATTCATGGTAAAGGAAATTATTTCCAAAAATGGCTAGTTTTAATAATTTGTTTCGTGGTTTAGGGAAAGTGATTTCTTTTTTTACCATAATGGGAAGTTATTTTCCCCAATCTAAACTTGTTATTTTTAGTTCATGAAAATCATTTTCCGTAAATCAATTAGTTTTTCGTCGTTCAAACATTGAAAAATTGATAAATAATTTCTCAAAATCAATTTTTTTTTCCAAACAAACGGAGCCCTAGAGAGATTGAGCTCCGCACCAGGTGCTGCTTCAAAAGGCCCCCCCTACAACTCGCAGCATGTGCATATCTATCCCGTTCAATTTACATAGTTTTGAGAAAATAAATGCCAATTCGACATTATAAACATTAGTTTCGTTCCCATAGAAACACATAACATCACAAAGGAAATTAGGACGCCATACCTTCGATGTGATGAGATCGATTCGCCTGTACTGTCCAAGTTCATTCAAGATAAACCCAATGTATTATCACTCGAAAGCATACCCTTGATATATCTTTATTTCTTGTTCAATAAGTACATGTGTTTTGCTTGCCAAATATTGTAAAATCACAAACGAAAAGAAAGAAGAACAAGAACACTGACGAGTTACGACTCTATGGCCAACTTGACAATGTCCCACCAAACCACTATTCATGCAGCCTTACAAGTGTACGTGCACTGCAGCTCATAGTGCACACATTTGCCAACTTCAGTAGTCATCAACCATGTATTCTGTTTCTTTTGTTCACATATATAAGTCAATTATTTATTTGGTCTTTTCTCTAAGTTCACATTGATTATATACATATATATATATATATATATATATATATATACACACGCGTTGGTAATAAATTTCCCGACAATTGCCTGCTCGTCGTCAACGTGGCTCTTTCTTTCATGCAAATGGACGGTGGCTTCGACGGTCCACAACTGTTTATGGTCTCATCTTCCCCACAGGAAACGAAACAAATAATTGCATTTTTTTTATCGCAAACATTTTCCCGACAATTAGGACGTATATGATAACCATTCAGTACTTTTTATTTTTTATTTTTCTATTTTCGAAAACATGTTTGGAACATAAAACCATTTGGTAATGCAATTTCATTTTTCTATTTCTGGAACAAATTTTGATTTTGAAAATAAATTTGGAACAAAAATGAGAAATACAAACTCTTCTTATTGTTCGCCCTCGCTACTAGCTAGTTGCCCACTTACTACCTGCTGTCATTGCTCGCCGCCTCCTGCCGTCCTCCGCCCACCGTCCGCCTCCCGCAGCCGTCTACCATCCTCTATTGCTTGCCGTTCGCTGCCGCCGTCATTTGCTGCTGGTTGCCTCCCTCCGCCGCCCATTGTTTGCCGTCCTCCCCCACTAGTCGTTCGCTGGCCATCGTTTGTCGTCGGCTGCCTCTCGCCTCCCACAACTGCTGCTCGTCGCGCACCTCCTACCGTACGCTGTCCTCCGCCGTTTGCCTCCCACCGCCTTCGACCGTCCTCCGCCGCCTTTCCGCCGACTGCCGGCCACTCGGTAGGGAGAAATTTTGTGTCGTTATCAAACACGTATTTTTACTCAGAAGCTTGTCCTGGGAATAGAATAGATTAGTCATAAATTGATTTTTAAAACAGAATGGTCATTATTCGTACTCGTATTTAAACAATTAAATTGATAGAATCCTCAACTTTCATATGCATAACTTTTCCTTTTGATAATGCGCACGACAGAAATTGATATGTTGAAGATTATATGATCTGCTCTTTTTTTGTTTAAGTATGTCGAATAAGTGTTCTTGAGGATGTTATTTTTATAATTCATAGTAATAAGGAAAACAAAAAGAATTTGTAGAAAGGAGAGCCCTTTGCTTTTCGTTTCTTATTCAAATGCCACAATCCACATGGATTGATGCGAAAGAATATGTCCATTAAGTTTTCGTAAAGAAGTTATTAATAAAAAAACAAAAGAATATGTAAAAGGAGATCCCTCCTTTCGTTTTCATTTCTTTTTCAAATGCCACTTTTTCCACATGCACTCATGCAAAAGAAAAAGGTTTTTGCTGTAGACAAAGATTATATTGATATTAGTCATTTGGTAAGTTAATTAATGCACTCGGGAGGAACACTGAAGATTATGTTGGAGAGAAGAGTGAAGGCCTTTCTAGATGATTCTTGCAAATCCATGGATAGAGCCACTATTCAGTAATTATAAATTTTTAATTTTGGTCAGAGATAACACTGCCAGTCAATAATGAACTTCTAAGTTTGACTCCACGGAATTGCTAATGCCTCGAATTCCATCAACCATGAATTATTAAACAACATCCAAGTGAAGATAACCCAAAAGAAGAGGGACAAAATAGAAACTTTACTTCACATTTACTCAAACGATAAGGCACCAAGCACCATTTTGAGGAAAACGATAACATTGCTCAATAAGCGTAGACGACCCTTCCACAAAGTACAAATTACACAAGTGAATAAGTAACCTATGTAGCAGAAAAAAACAAATATATTATCAAGACAGAATTTCACTAAACCAATCTCTTGTTATCATAGCATATCTAAAACCCATCTCACACCAAAAGAGTTAGAACACTTCATACGAACTAATAAGATTACAAAATGTCAGCAAATTACAGATCTGAGATCTCACTTTGCAGTATGACAGAGGAAGAAAAAGGGAAGAGGAAAGGAACATTAGACATCACTCAGATTGATGATGGTCATGAAAATTTTTATGTCCTTGATAAACATTCATCCTTTCCAATGCACAAGGATTCCTCTCTGTTTCTTCAGTTTTCTGGGACTCCAATGATTCTTCCAGTACTATCCCTAACCTCTCTCTCTGACACTTTCTTGATCTGTTTTTTCGCTTCCATGGAGATTCAAGATTCCCAGAAAAGGTATTCACCATCTATCTGTCACCTGCAAAAGATTTGAGTCCTTGATATGCCAAATTTGCCCATATTTATTCCCGATATCCCCCATCCTTGCTCCAATTGGATCGTCTTGATCAAACCAAAAGCAGAGTAACCAGTATTGCATAAATCGCATGGCAAGCTCTTAGCTTGATAGTACTGGAGGACACAGCAGCGGGTGGAGGGTTATAGTAGTAGTAAAAGGGGAAGTACGGCACAATCGGGTTCGGGGGCGGCGGCCCCGGGTAGTTCCCGTAGCTCGGCGGGGGGTAGTACGCGCTGCCGCTGCTCAGCGGGGGGTAATACGAGCCGCCGCTGCCCCCTTTGTAGGGCGGGGGCGGCGGTGAGTACGCATAACTGGGCTGGGACGGTGGAGGCGGGCTGTTGGACGTGGCGGCCGGCGGCGGCGGGGACGGGGGCGGAGGCGGCGGGGAGGGGACTTGGCCACAAGGGTTGTCGCAGGCGGCGCACATGGTGCACTCAATCTGGTACTTGGAGGAGGTGGCCATGCCGGAGGTGACGGCGCCGGCTTCCCGCGCCACGTTTCTCGGCAGGATGGCAAGGAGAGTGAAGAGAGCGAGCGACATTCTCAGAATTCTCTCCATCTTCTTCTCCAGGAACTATACGGACGGACTGGATCACTTCGAGCTCAGCAAAGATGGGGATGATGAGAGGAGCGTCTGAGAGGGTCTTACCTTAAAGAAGCGACAGAAGGCCACATGCGAGGGCCAATACATCATGGCGGAATTGGGTTAAAAAGGTCAAAAAATGAGAGCAAAAGAGGAGGGCCCTCCAGCTCCGAAAAGATAACACCGACGCGTTTCTTACTCCTTTACAGTATAAAAAATATGTGGAGCCACTTTTTCAACGTGGCGAAATTTGTGAGTCCTGCTGAATCGAAGCGTAGCTGGTTTAAAGATCAGTCAGTGGAGGTGTACGAGCATCTTGGACTGTAAGGAATCGCAGTTTTACTTCGAATGCACCGCAAACTCTCGATCGTATGGAACAGCAGAGAGGGAAATGATCCGATCGAGAGAGAGACCCAATTTGGCTTCAGAGCTTTAGGATCACACGAGTTGTTCATCCGGTGTTCTTCACCTTGATGCTCGGTGCGGGGTGTGTTCGCGACCGGAATTCCGATTTTGCTTGTTACCAAATGCTTCAGCTGGATGATATCATTGGAACCATTAGGGAATCGATAACCTGAAAGCAGTGAGCCCTTTTCTAGGATAATACTTGGACGATCTCTTGTTGCGTGCGTTCGGGTAGTTCCCCCCAAATTACTAGGGATATTGGCTCATTGTGGAGGTGCAGCCAGCCCTTCTTGATGCTTTCAATTGCACAATAGTGTCGAGGATTGTTCTGGACAATCGGGTCGGCGGTTGACCTGGCGATTGTAACCCCAGGCGGACTCGGTGATCGGCTTATACTCATGCTCCTAAAGTAGGTGCTCGTGCTATAGCATTAGTGAGTCTATCGATAAGTGATCGACCGTGGCGAAAAGGAGAGGGAAAAATTTAGAAAGCCCCAGTCTATATGATGATACCGCGATGTGCTTAGCTCGATAAACACTGAACTTCAAATCTAGGACTGATTACATCCTCTTTTATTATAATTTCATGATATTTGGAGTTAGTTGCATCTACTTTAGGGATAATGACACAAATGGTCCTCGAACTTTGACTAAATGTGCAATGTGGTTTTTGAACTTTAGCCTAAATGTATTATTATCCATAAAATTTAAGTTATTCAATATGATCCCTGGACTTTTGGTACACATTCAATTTAGTCTCATATGTACCAAAATTTTACGGACGGCCATATTGAACAAATTAAAAATTTCTAAACTATATTGTACATTAAATTAAAATTTATGGACTATTTCTATCATTTTGTCTTGAATAAAAGTTAGACCATTCATGTCGAGAGCAGAAAACTTGCAACTTGGCTCCTCTAGGGTGAATTCTCCGCAATAAATACTTGGCAATGGCATACCCTTGGAGACACCAAGTCTGAGTTGTCTTACCCACTCAATCCTTCCGTGAAAATTTAATACTGACACAGGATCAGATGCAAAAGCTTTTTTTTTTTTTGGTCTGTCAGATGCCAAAGCTTGAGACGTAAAAAGAGGGAGTGACTTGTTTTTATCAGAGTTGCACTATATTCGCAATCAATGTTGAATACTCAACTGAAGAACGCCATCTTCCGCATTCAAACATGATGAACTAAATCGAGTACGACCATGGAGTATAAAATTGGGAAGTCGAGATGCAAACCGAGCCTCATCAATCTCGGCATGATAATCGTGTTGGGTTACGTATCTCGCCGTCGAGCATCGGTCTCTCCCTATTTTTTTCATGAGCAATATATATTGCGAGATAAAAAGGGTCGGGAAGGAACTACCCATCCCCGCGACTCTATTGCCGAGCCTTATCATAGGACTTCGACACCACCCGCTACGATATGAACATAAGAGAATCACATCGCTTCATATGCCTCGCGACGGCATGTGGACACGTGGCTGTTGTCCTGGAGAATTCAGTGTAGTGAATCTTCTTCCCATCTTCCATTCCCACTTTGCACTTTTTTTTTTCCAAAAGATTGGAACCCGTTCAGCTTTAGAATCCCATCTTTTTGAGAGGCTCATCATACCCTGATAATGGCGATTAAAATGACTTTCACTTAGAGCCATGGCGATCAAGGAAAGGATCAATCTGGAAGAAAGATTGCCCCCCAAAAGGATCATCTTTCCAGGCTGGTTCGGTGGTTACTAAAGCTCATGCAAGAAAAGTCACAGTTTCTACTCAAATCTTCCAAGTTCATTCTTTGTAGGCAATGGCTAAGTACGTAGGAGTCGGTCCCTTGTGATTGCTGTCTTTCCACTTCGAAGGATTGTACAAAAGCCAGCCGTCCATGTACATTTTCAATGCAATGTGCAAACATTATCAGTAATTTCACTTGGTTGTTGGTGGAGAAAATAAAAAACTTGATTCTTGTTCGCAATTGAATTGGTTCGTCTCAAATCACGACCTTGTATAAGTCGTTGCGCGATATAGTAAGCTACTATATTGCCGATGACTAGCTAGGAGAAGTGACTTGACCATTTGCTTTCCAAGCACTAGGCGTAACAATAAATGGATAATACGTCATTTTTAATTGTTAGTATGCCATGGTTGGGAGGCTGATTGAATTAGAACATCCACATATACTTACAGTCGAAATTATTAAGGTCCACATCGCTCAAATACGGGTTATGATTCGCCTAAATCATAGGCATACTAATAAAATGGTATACATTGAAGTCGGGTCAAGCCCCATTTATAATATATGATATCTCATGGGTTTTAATGCTGAGCATTCCTAAACAACATGCCACAGACATTCTTGTCCCGCCGGAGTTTATTGATTTGCACATGCGATGGGTGTTGGAGTATATGCAATAATTAGACACACGGTTAATTTTCTCTTGCATTTTTTGGTAAGTACAATCAAAATAGTATACAAGAATACTCTCAATACTTAACAAGCTTCAACGAAGAGAGATTGTGGTTCATCAGATACGTTACATGATAATTCTTTTGTCAAATAATTAATCCAGATAACTTTAAGTAAAGTTGGCTTGATAGTTAAAAATAACAATGTACAGTTAATTAGGCGCACAAAGTAATATGATGGGAAATTGGCCCGGTCCGTAAAATCAATGTAATATTGCATGGTTCCAAAGTTTACCCAATCAAGTGATAATACCTATGGTACAACAAATAGTAGTAGGACCCGTGCAATGCACATGGGTTCCTTATTTTGGATTGATTTTTAGATATAACAGTTGTCACATAAATAATTCTCAAGAGAACACCTCATTTTTGTATCTTTATGGATAATTTTTTTGTAGGTCATTTATTTGTATTTAGAATATTTTTAATAGCATTTATCAAATTAAAAATTAAAGAGAGAATTATTTTCTAGTCTTTGTGCATTTTCCACTTATGTAGTCAATATTGAAAGATTTGCAACTCGATCTGTACTTGATAGCAATAATTTAATGACTATTCCCATCTCTATTCATAGACTCTTATCTTTTCAATTGTCAATAATCATCTATAACGATTAGTGCGCTTTAATAGACTTTCTTTTATAGAGTTTTATCTTTAAATAATAAATCGATCCTTGTAATAAATACATCTTATGTATTGACATTTATGAGGAACAGTGTTAAGTTTTTCATGCTCCAGAAATGTGAACTTCCACGTTAGTTGTCGTTCCTAGAAAAGAATGACAATTTGAGTACTTTCTTAATCGTCACAGCATTAGCGTCCCGTGTCATGAGCCCTTGCCCAAATCGGGCTTGATGAAGGGTGCGCTGGGAACCACTTTCCCAAAAGCCCTCGGGCAAACCACAAATACCGTTTGAATTTTTTTTTGTAGAGTCTTGGGAAGATGCAATTGTATTTCCAAAGACAGAGGTGTTTAGCCTAAGATAGGTCCGAAGGTGCTTTGAGTTTTGAATATTTTCGAAAGGCAAATACATTTCTTTCTTCCAACCTGCGAGAGCTTGCAATGAAGGTAAAAAAAATAATAAAGAAAACGGAAAAAAATAAAAAAAAAGAAAAGAACAAAAAAATATTAAAAAATGCCTACTTTAGCGTTGGCCGTGCCACGCAGGCCGATCGGTATTCATGTTAGTGATTTCCGGCCCAAATTGGGCAAATGGACTGATTTTGTATCAATGTGAAAAAATTTAGAACTAAATTGATTCAATTGAAAGATTTAAGACTGAATTGTATCAATGCAATAGGCTAAAGACTCTTTTTTTGGGTACCTTTCACCGTAGCACTTGATCGAGACCGATCTAATATGGAAAAACAGGCTCAATAGTTAAAAGATTCACTTGTATAATTCGAAATTAGCACAAAACTGTCATGTCAATCGGCGGTAGTTTAGCGAACGAGAGAAGCTAATCCGTCCCTGACTCCTTTTCGTACCGTTGGATGCTGGAAAGTTCAAACGCAACGGTCGAGAGGTTCTTTCTTTATTTGCAAGAGGCCTTCAAAAGTCAATCTATCAAGAAATTTCAAACCCTCGAAGATTGTATGTGCACCGACCCTTTATGTTTACTTACCAGTGTAAATAAACTTTATTATGAAAAGCAAGAAATATAAAAGCAGAATATGATGGAATCTTGCACTTTACTCAATCTTTCGCTTTGCTTTTTCTTTGCTTTCGGATTGTTCCAGGGCATTCTCTTTATGACTGCAGATCGTCTTGGCAAAAGCATGGATGATAGCTGGAAGAGTCCAAAGTGCAAAAAGCCTTGGCCATCTCTCTCTCTTTCACTCAGAAATCAGGAAATTACAGTCATCCACCGCCACCAATAACGTTGGGAAGAATCTTATGTTTACTTCGGGTTGGGTTCAATTGTCCAAAAAGTCCTAAATTTACTGTTCGACGGTCAATTTAGTCTTAAACCTTTCGATTGTGCCAATTGAGTCCTAAATCTTTCAATTGTATCAATTTAGTCTTATACCTTTTAAAGATTTACCAATTTAGTTCTAAAATTTTTAATATTTTCCAATATAGTTATAAACCTATTATTTAGATATTTGGCCGGAAGGACTATATTGATAAATCATCAAAGGGATTAAGAATAAAATGGCAAATCATCAAAATGTTTAGGACTAAATTGGCACAATTAAAATGTTCATGACTGAATTGGCAAGTCGGCAAAATGTTTAGGACTAAATTGACACAATTGAAAGGTTTAAGACTGAATTGGCCTCCACATAATGGATTTAGGGCTTTTTGGACATTTCTCCCCTTAAGGTTGATAGGTTATGTCTTCTTAGATCTGGTGACAATGGTGAAATGTAAAGTTTCGAGTCGGAAAATGAGAACGAGTGTGTCGGTCTACTTCTTGTGGGGAAAAAAAAAAAAAAAAAAAAAAAAAAAAAAAAAAAAAAAAAAAAAAAAAAAAAAAAAAAAAAAAAAAAAAAAAAAAAAAAAAAAAAAAAAAAAAAAAAAAAAAAAAAAAAAAAAAAAAAAAAAAAAAAATACCTGCATAGAAATTTGGATGGAGAATAGTGAGCTCAAACCATGCCTCGAAATGCCTAGGCCAAGAAATCACTAGAAATCAGAATCGACATGAGCAGATTTACTCGTAACCAACAAGATTTAACATGGTGTCGTATGGCCACTTATCGAAAAGATTGAAGTTCATACACACTAATTAATAACGAAGCTAGTTTAGAGGATATGGCTTTGCCATTATAGCTTCCATTCTAGCACCAAAAGATCGAAAGGAAAAGAACAAGTGCAGAGCAGAACGTTAAACGTTGAATTTGAATGAAGCAAGAAGAGGCCCATTGTGCATGGGTCAATGGGCCGTCGCATTCTCCGCGGTTTGGCTGCTACAACTGCCTTTGGCTAGAGAAAGGTTCTGATCACTGTTCATCACTGCCCTAACATCACCAAAGTCCATGCAATGTCGAGCCTACACTCCGGTAAAAAGACAGTTTCCTAATTTTGATGTTTTACGCTTTCCAATTTAGATTAGGTAACTTTCCTATTATGATTAGGTTTTCAATTCAGATTAGGTAACTTTCCTATTATGATTAGGTTTCCTATTATAATTAGGTTTAACCCCTATAAAAGGGTGTTTAGGGTTGTTTTGAAGACAGAACATTCTTATCATCAATATTGAATTTCGAGATTTTTCTCTCTAAGCAAGGTTTTGCTTGAATTATTCGCGGAATGCTGCGTCAAACAATACTTCTTTTGCTTTGTAAGAAAACTCCGACCTGCATAGACATTTGGATGGAGAATTGTGAGCTCAAACCATGCTTCGAAATGTTTAGCCAAGAAATCACTATAAATCAGAATCGACATGAGCAGATTTACTCGAAACCAACAAGATTTAACACGGTGTCGTATGGCCACTTATCGAAAAGATTGAAGTTCATACACACTAATTAATAACGAAGCTAGTTTAGAGGATATGGCTTTGCCATTAGAGCCCAGGTTCTAGTCCCATCTTCATTGGCCAGAGGAAGCTTTTCTAATTGAGCCTCGTTCGTTCTCCATCTACAGGCTATACGCATCGAGAGCGCAGTTGTATCTGGAGTGAACCAAAACCAATCAATTCGACAAGCGTGACTCCCTCCATGACGTCACGACGATCTCACACAACACACTGAGCGCTCCGTGAACTTCCTATGGTGATCGGTGAAGGAGCCGGATCTTCTGCGGCTGGAGTTTACAACAGGTTTAGATTCCTCGCGTCCAATGCCATCTCTAGCTTCCATTCTAGCACCAAAAGATCGATAGGAAAAGAACAACAAGTGCAGAACAGAACGTTAAACGTTGAATTTGAATGAAGCAAGAAGAGGCCCATTGTGCATGGGTCAATGGGCCGTCGCATTCTCCGCGGTTTGGCTGCTACAACTGCCTTTGGCTAGAGAAAGGTTCTGATCACTGTTCGTTACTGCCCTAACATCACCAAAGTCCATGCAATGTTGAGCCTACACGCCGGTTGAAGGTTCGAAGCGTTCATGATCGGCCATGATCAAATTGGAAGCAAAAATAGGTGGGGCGTTTTACTTGGGATCGTTGGTGCCCACGACCAATCTGTCTGGAAACAATCTTTTTACGTTCACTAAAATCTTCCATTGTTAAAAAGGAACAGTTTTCTTATCAAGGCCCGCCCGAAATTATTTTTTGGGTCTCTTGTGTTATTGGAGGGCCTGTCTAGACCCATGAACTACCAGGCACATGATCGGGTCTAGTTTTCATGAGTGATGAAACCATCTTTTTCAGGTTCATCAAAACTTTCCATCGTTAAAAGAATTGATTACCAAGGCTCGCCGGAATATGTTTTCTGGGTCCTTGTGTCTTGGGAGGGCTTGTCCAGAGCTGTCGAGCACATGATTAGGTTCAGTTTGTACGTTGAGTTTTTACTCGGTTCGCATGATGTCGCATTATTCAAAGAACGAAAATCCAAATGCCCGACTTGACAGATGCGAATGGCTCTAATCCAGCTCTCATTTTGGGCTTGCACCATGATTTTAGGAAACGAGATCAGATATAATTAGTATCAAGTCTTCACTATAGCCAGGGGGACTTTATTAAACTGGCAAACGTGCTTGGCACATAGAAACCACGACATGAACGTCTTTTGACTTTCTACGTGCACCCCAATCTCCCATTTTATTTCCCTATTTGCCCCTTTCCAGCGTGGCACATTCCCATTGGTGCAGAACCAAGCAAAGACCTTTCTGTTAGTTACCCTTTAACTTACCAACGGTACTGCAAATCAATGCACCTCCATTGCCAAATTCAAAAATCAAAGAACATTCCCATCCTCTGCTCCAAACAACATTCTCTCTCTCTCTCTCTCTCTCTCTCTCTGCTTTGCTCTGCTTCGTTTCTGTGTAACACTTTCAAATTTGTACTCGCAGAGGAACTGTTTCTGAGTGATCTGGCTTCGACCCTCCTCTGTTTCTCCCAAAAAGTTCGAGACTTGCACTGCAAATGATTCGCTTCTTCAGCCTCCACCTCCATACCCGTCTCTTTCTCCTCCTCATTTTCGCCGCCACACCCCCCTGCCTCTCTCAGACCGACGTGCCGTCGCCGGCTCCGGCTCCGGTGGCCGAGGTGTGCAACGGCGTGCTCCTGACCTACCTCTATGCCGGGGGCACCCAGCTCCCGCCTGACGACCCGGCCCACCAGGCCTACCGGTTCCAGTCGGTCCTCACGGTGACGAACAACGGGGTCGACGAGCTCAAGTCGTGGAGGGCGTTCGTGGGGTTCCAGAACGATGAGCTGCTGGTCTCCGCCTCCGGAGCCGTCCTGGCCGACGGGTCGAGCCTGCCCGCGACCGTCGGCAACAACGGCACCGTCCTGGCCGGCTTCCCATCGACGGACCTGCAGACGGCGATCCAGACGGCGGGAGATTTGACGCAGATGCAGGCGCAGGTCACACTGGTGGGGACGCAGTTTGGGGTGAAGCCGCCCAGCGTGCCGATGCCGGCGAACATCTCGCTCGCTAACGATGGGTTCGTTTGTCCTGAGCCGACCCTGCAAGGTGTTTCTTTGATCCCAATCTGTTTTCTTTTCTTCAGTTCTCGTGGTTTGTGTTTGATTTATGTTGATCTCTTCGTAGAATTTGGTTTGTAGGATTCGTTTTTATGTTTAGAGGTTTGGGGCTTGAGGTGTTGACTGTTGGGGGAGCATGAGGATAAAAAAGCTTCCATCTTGTCAAAAGAACACAGATGTTCTGTTGGCCAATAATAGAAAAACGAAGAATGGCTGAATGTTCAGTGGAGTTGTTTTTGTTCTGTACCACGTCTCTGTTGATTTTGCCGGACAAATGCTGTAACTCATGTCTTACATTTCTCAGGGAAGAATTTGATGCTGGTTTGCTGCACTCAAGATCCCAATTTCAAGACGAACATCACCGTGGCCGACGAATTCTTGCCCCGTCAGAGTGGCGATCTCACGATCATGTACGACGTGATCCGGACGTACGACACGAACTACTGGGCGCAGGTCACGATTTCGAATAACAACCCCCTCGGCCGTCTTGATAATTGGGAATTGAGCTGGGACTGGATGAGGGAAGAGTTCATCGCCTCCATGAGGGGGGCTTATCCCTCTATTGTGGACTCGAGCGGCTGTTTGTTCGGATCGCAAGCTTCGCAGTACACTGATATGGATTTCTCCAACGTCTTGAATTGTGAAAGGAGGCCCACCATCATTGACCTGCCGCCGACGAAAGCTAATGACACGAACCTCGGGTTGATTCCTAATTGCTGTCGGAATGGCATGATATTGCCTCCGTCCATGGATTCGAGCCAGTCGAGTTCTGTGTTCCAAATGCAGGTCTACAAAATGCCGCCGGACCTCAACCGGTCGGTGCTCTTCCCACCCCAGAACTGGAGGATCAACGGCACACTCAATCCCGATTATCAATGCGGTCCTCCCGTTCAAGTGAGCCCCAGCCAATTCTTCAGCCCCAATGGGTTATCGTCGAATACGACCGCCTTTGCTAGCTGGCAGGTGGTGTGCAACATCACACAGCGGTCGACTCCTAGGTGCTGCGTGTCGTTTTCTGCCTACTACAACGAATCTATTGTGCCGTGCAGGACGTGTGCCTGTGGCTGCGCGAGCAGCGCTAGCTCTAACTGTAGCGCCACCTCCCCCGCGATCCTCCTCCCATCCCAAGCGCTCCTTGTTCCGTTTGACAATCGCACTGCAATGACGCTTGCTTGGGCCCAAATAAAGCATCTCCAAGTGCCGAAACCAATGCCTTGCGGCGACAACTGTGGAGTCAGCATCAACTGGCATGTCAACACCGATTACAGCAATGGTTGGACCTCCAGGATCACGATCTTCAACTGGGGTGAGACTGCATTTGTCGATTGGTTCACTGCGGTCGAATTGGATAAAGCGGCTGCCGGGTTCCAGGCGACGTACTCGTTCAACGGGACTCTTATGAACGACGTGAAGAACACGATTTTCATGGAGGGCCTCCCTGGATTGAATTACCTCATAGGGGAAGCAGATGGAGCTGACCCCAGGGCAGATCCCAAGGTCCCCGGGAAACAGCAGTCAGTGATTTCGTTCACCAAGAAGAACATCCAGGGGATCAACGTGCCGAACGGAGACGGTTTCCCTACGAAAGTATTCTTCAATGGGGAAGAATGCTCGCTTCCAACCGCGATTCCAACGGGCAATAGTGCCAGGATTGGTTCATCTACTACGCTTTCGATCTTCCTAGCAGTGATCATTGCCACACTGATACTGCAATAATTGAGCGAGGAGATGCGGCTTTGTGTTTTTTTTACCTCTTGATGATTCTTTTTGATTGTTCTCCTAGGGGGATTCCTGCCGTATATGCTCAATCAGGAACTTTCAGAATACTTCTTGCATTCACACAAGGACACAAGTGTATCGTTCGGCACGTCACAATTACCAAATCTCTTGGCATTTCCGGTGTAAAGTGTCTGTTTTTTCATGCCTGTTGTTCATCTGATACACACACACAGCTGTATCGAACGAGGAAGTGATTCACATAGAATGATCTCTTCTGCTTTGGCGGTCGGTGATTTTGTAATTCATTCCCGCGATCCATTATTCCATTGTCCCTTGATGGTATTGGTACTACACTACCGGTTGCGGGTCGTCTCCGTCCTCGAGTAGTGGTCTGAAAATCATCATTTCGACTTTGCGAAACGAACCTGACCGGGATTTCGAGCACGGTTGCGAAACGGGGCGATGATTTATGAAACTGAGGTGAAGAAGAAACACTAAACCTGGCCAATTCAGAAGGTGAAGAAGAAAGGTCTTCCAAACTCTGTTTCATGGAGTAAAAAACAAAAAATAAACCAAGGAAATAGCAAGATTGCTCTCGTTGAGAGTCGAACTCAAGACCTCCCGCTTACTAAACGGGTGCTCTAACCAACTGAGCTACGAGAGCCTGATTGATGGCCTTTTAGCATTTTAAATATTACTTCATTAACTAAATTATTGGTCACTGCATAATTCAATGGAAGGTTTGCGTGGGGGATATGTCACATTGTCTCAAATCCACCAAGTTTAATGATTTAATCAACCGTCGCCTTTTTGAGCAATGATACTCGGTCCGGCGGCAAGTTGAACCTCTCATGATGACAAACCTGTACTTTTTGTTCGGAATCAATGGCATTTCTCCTGGACATGTGGTTTGGAGCAAAGTCGTACCGTCCGACTTTTCAAACATCTAAAAGCTATTTGTCTCCAAGTGTTGTGAGGAACTACTATCATTATCCGACGTGGTACCGTCCTTGCCATCGCCATTTGCAATTTTTACAACAGTAAACCAACTGCATCTCGAATAGATGCTTGAGTAATTTTCTTTATCAACAATGTTTTGAACTGTTTAGTGTGTCTGTGGCTTTCATTATCAGTACATCTTGCACTTCCGTTTGGCCTAATGAACATTTCTATCAGGGGATCATCAAATAAGCTAATCTAATGCCACAAAGTTTACATGTAAGAGATAAAACGAATTTCTTGATTGCCAAAAATTAAATGAGATAAAGAGATTTTGCATGGAAATTGAAGCCAGTATTTACTCTCCTGGGCTCGGGTTGACACTTGACAGTAGTATTGTCCTTTAATATGGTCAAAATGACAAATTTCTTTTAAGCACCGGCTTGTGTTGTGAACTTGCAAAGCTGGGCTTCGAATTTGGACCATCCAGATGCCCCGTTGGTGAGTCAACTCATGCTGGGTCTTCAGATCTGAGCCGTTCATTTAGATCAGTCAACGAAATGCACCTTAAAACCTTTGCTTCGACAACCCATATTTATGTGTATAAACATCCATAAAGCTTCAGTATCTCCACAACTTCACAAAGCCTCTCTCATCATATAACCAATTCAAACTCAGTTCCTCCTGATCCTCTGTAACTTTTGAAGCTTCATTCGTTTGTTCACAGTTCCGACAATGGCCATCACTTGTTTCACTCAGGATCGCTACCCCGATCGCTCCGTCGAGGATGTTCAAGGCGCTGATTCTCGATTCCCACAACCTCATTCCCAGAATCGCTCCGCAGGGTATCAAGAGCATCGACTTTGTCGAAGGAGACGGAGGAGTCGGGAGCGTCAAGCAGACCAACTTTGCTGAGGGCAGGCCTAGTCTTCTATGGTCACACATTTTTTTGGCAGAACTTGTTCTTTTCCTTTTTCGCCTAATTCGACATCATCATGAACTTAGAATAGATTAATGAATTTTGAATCCTGATGGCTCTCAATAGGTGGCCACTTGAAGTACCTAAAGCATCGAATCGATGCTCTTGATGCCGAGAATCTCGTATGCAAGTACACTCTGATCGAAGCCGACGTCGTCTTCGACAAGATCGAGTCGGTGGCTTACGAGGTCAAGTTTGAAGCTTCCGGCAACGGCGGATGCATATGCAAGATGGCCAGCAAGTACCCCACGAAAGCCGGCACGGAGCTTAAGGAGGAGGATATCAAGCAAGGGAAAGACAAGGCGATGGGACTGTACAAGGTCGTGGAGGAGTAGTTTCTGGCTAATCCCTCTGTCTATGCTTAAGCTTGCTCGTTCGTCTTCGTTTTCAAGGAGTTTGTGCGTGCGTTTCTTCATTTGTCTATGGGGGGCATGAAATCTAATATATTCGTAATTATACAATTTTCTATTGGGTTTCCTAAACGTGTGGTCTAAATAAAGAAATTTATTTTTATTAGATTTATTGTCGATGTAAAAAGATAAATTACACATTCACCGCTCGAGGTTGACATGGGTAACAATTACGATTTCGAAATTGACTTCAGACGCGCATGTCGCATATTTAGTGATACACGTGTAAGAATTTATCTTGCACTGATGATGGACCTAACAATAATTCAAGAAAACCTTTAAGTACTTCTTTTTAAAAATTTTGACGGGGCAGGGTAAAATATTTTACTACATAAATAAATACGTATCGCTTGACAATCTCAACATTGTTTGGAATTGGCGCACAATCACAAAGAAAAAGAGAGTAAAAGAGAGAAAGAGGATTTGAGATGCAAGATTTTATCCTGGTTCATCCTTAAACTAGAGCTATATATAGTTGAGGATTCCACTATAATTAGCACTTCGCGCCTCTCTGTTACATCTCTCAATTATAAGAGAAATATAATATATATAGATAATAATTTGATTCAAAATAGGAATTCTCTTTTTAGGAAACCTACTCCAAATAGGAAACCTATTTAAATAGGAAAATTTTCTTTTTCGGGCTCAATTAGGATATCGTGTTGTCCTGGGAGTATGAACCATACTCCGACAAACATACACCAGGTAATTATCAAGAACATGTGCTCTCCAGTCTGGACAAATAAATTAGACACGTGCCGTCTAATTACATAATTTCCCTAACATTTTTTTATTCCAAAAGTATCACTCCAATGTTTATAATGTACGCATTTTGATGGCCTATGATACAAAGAAAAATTAATGATATATTTTTTTTGTTTTGGTTATTCTTTAGATGGGCACTTGCAATGACACCGAACCGAAGTCGGTATTAGCAATTTAACTGTATTTAAATTTTAATTCTTAAAATCTTACCATAAGTTAGGTTGTGAAAAATTCTCTAAATGCGAGGTGATATACTCGAAGTAACAGCATTACGTTTTTGTCATGCCATGTGGGTTTTTAAAATGTTACCTAAAATGGTTAATTCCACGAAAAATCCCAAATTGATGCATCCGCGACAAATTTACTCCGAATTAATTTTTTGACCACCAAAAAACTCCAAACTGGTATACTTGTGATAAATTTAACATCTATTAAATTTGATTTATACCATAAAAAATCACAAATTGGTAAACCTGTGACAAACAGAGGGGTAAAACCCCAAACTAGTATACCTGTCAACTGTCACGCGTCATCCAACTCAACAGTTTGACGGTAAAATTTAACAGAAGCTAACAGGAGGTAAATTTATCACGGGTGTACCGGTTTGTGATTTTTTATCGTCAAAAAATTAGTTTATGATAAATTTGTCATGTACTAGTTTGGGAGTTTTCGTGATATTTATCCTTATCTAAAAGAGGTAACAAGATAAATATTTTAGAGTTTGAATAGATCTTTAGCAAAAAGAAACTACGTACGAATCCTATCAAAATGTCGAGCATGTCTTTACCACGCATAAAAAGGCAATCACTAGACAACTCTTTTGCACCAAGACGTAGACTGATCTTATCTAGCGTCGAGTTTTTCCGAAGTAATGCCGAATTGGGAGGCGTTGCCTCAAGATCTGCCGCGGCTCAAGACGGCTAGACGGGGAGGATTTCGTGGCCTTTGGCTTGGTGTGCACCTCGTGGCGGTCCGCCGGGGCGGGGTTTACGATGCCGGAGCGAGAGCCCCTTGGCTGATTAGTTTCTTGGACTCGGAGTCGCGGTTTTGGAGCATGTCTAGGGTGAAGGTCCACAGGGCAGACCTGCCGAGCAGTATGGTCAGGAGCTTGCGCTACCAAGGATGGATGGCGATATCACCGGAGGGCGGGGGACTCGAACTGTTCAACCCTATTTTGCGCGTCAGCAATGAACTCCCCGGCTCAGAGACGTTCTCGCGTGTCCGTAAGTTCGTGCTATCTTCGAGCCCTTCTGCGTCCGACGACTATGTGGTCATGGTCCATTTTCAGCCGTCCGTGTTTGCATTCTATCAACCGCGAGAACGGTCATGGACGACACTGATGTACTCGCCTAAGTCACGGATCATGTATCTAATACATTACAAGGGCCGATTTGTGGCCTTGGACGAAGAATGCCGGGTGACCACTTTCGACCTGTGGGGAGATAACGCTCAAGAAAACCGAGTAGTCGTTCGGAAGTTCGAGGGATGGATGACGTCGCATCTCGTGGAATGCTCCGGCTCATTGTTGGTGATTTGGCACAGCCCTGATTGGTTCGGCTCGGCCTTGAGCGCCGCGTTCCGAGTTTACAAGGTCGACTTGGACGGGGGGACTTGGACGGAGGCGAAGAGCTTGAGGAGTGCATCGTCTTCCTGTCGTACGAGTGCCCGTTCTCGGTGGACCTCGGCGCCGGATCTCTCCTTCCCGAGATCGGGCCGAACCACATATACTTCGTCGACATGGTATCCGCCATTGATCGCAAGATACAGTCCTATGACATGGAAGATGGTAAAATTGAGACCCACCCAGACTTGATGGCCTGGCTATTAGGCACTACACCGAGGTGGATCCGACCTAGTTTCTGAACATATTGGCATTGGTCTTGTGAAGTTGGGATGCTTCTTACCGTTCTTTGTCAGGTGCACATTAGTTTGGTGCATGCCTTCTATCTTTTCCCTAGAGTGCTTGCTGCTTCTGTTGCTTCAGGGGTTTCCAGTATCGAAGATCTAGTCGTGCTCTTGAATTACCGTGAATGTGACGATGTGACCGAATTTTTTGTGCCCCAGAAAGCTGGGCATAGTAAAACAGTGCGGATGCTACATCGAAGCAAGGTCGATTTCACATCGATGCCAGAAAATCGTGCCGAATAATCAGTCAAGTCGAAACTTTAGATGAACTGGTTGGGTTAGCGCGCACA